TTTGTTAGTATTGTTTTATGTAAGTTTGACTAACTGCATATTTGACTTTTTTCCTTTTTATATTTAACCTTCTTTTCTTCCTCCAATATATTGGATTTTTCCTTTTGTATTCGATCAATATATGAATTAGATCAGTTTTTCTTTTCTGCTGTCTTCTTTGCTATTTTCTCCCAAATTCTCAATGGGATCTATGTTTTTACGTTATGGTATTAGAGCGGGTTAACACCCGCTCTGCCTCCGCTGCATCCTTTCTGTTTCTCTTTTTCTCTCTTTCTCTGTTTCTTGATGGCTTCTGTCAATTCTTCAACTGCTAATAGCAATGCAGAAACGCAAACTGTGATTGACGAATCTTTGAATCCTTCAAGCCCGTATTATTTGCACCCAGGTGAGAATCCTGGAATGATTCTTGTTTCAAAGCAATTGAATGGTACGAATTACCATTCTTGGAGTAGGAGTATGCGCAGAGCTCTTCTTTCAAAAAACAAATTAAAATTCATCACTGGAGCCATCAAGATTCCACAAGAAGACGATCCTCTTCATGACTCATGGGAGAGATGCAATGTCATGGTACTCTCTTGGATAACTCGAACTTTAAGTGATCAAATTGCTCAAAGTACTCGTATATATTGATAATGCAAGAGATCTTTGGGAAGATCTCAAGGAACGATTCTCAAAAGGAGACCATTTTAGGACTTCGATCTACTACAGAATTGCACTCCATTAAGCAAGGAGAAAGAAGCGTTTCGAATTCCATACAGATTTCAAAATTCTTTGGGAAGAGTTGGAATCCTTGCGTCCCATTCCTAGTTGTACCTGCAATCTGCAATGTTCTTGTGAAGCCTTCAAAATCATTGCTCGTTATCGTGAATCCGAACATGTAATATGTTTTCTCGAAGGGATTAAATGACGCCTTCACCACCGCAAAATCTCAAATTCTTTTAATGGAGCCTCTCCCAGGAATCAATCGTGTTTTTTCGTTAATTCCGCAACAAGAACGACAATTGGCAGGAGTGAGTCACGTTGATGCCAAAACTCTTTTGACAACTGCTAATCAAGGACCTATTGTGAATTTTAACAATCAAGGAAATTGGAAAACTCAAGGACGTGGATCTTGGAAGAACCAAGGACGTGGACGTGGGAGGAATTCCAACTATGGTAAACAAGTGTACTTTTTGCAATAAATTGCACCATACCGTTGATGAATGTTATGCCAAACACGGATTCCCTCCATGGTTTAAAAATAACGAAATGATTCTCGTTGTCAACACCGTTATGATCGACAACGTTTTGAAAGAAGAAGAATAAAAAAATCAAGTGCACATTGTTCGTAATAGTCACCGACAGTGAACAAGTTCAACAACTATTAAAACTTCGCAAGAAAAGAATCAAGACACTACTCATAGGGTCAATCAGCTTTAAAAATAATAATGGTGATCAACAAGACTCCAAAGGTATTCTCTGCTCATCTTGGATTATAGACACTCGGGCTACTGATCATGTAGCTTACAATAAAAATCATTTTTTAACTTTTACTAAAATCGACGTGTGCATGTGAAATTACCTAATGGTAATCATGTCACTCGCTGAATATGCTAGCACTGGTTTGTATTTCAAATAGCCTTACACTCTATAATGTTCTTCATATTCCCAATTTTGAATTTAATATAATTTCTGCTCAAAAACTGATTATTGATTCCAATTGTAAATTGATTTTTTCTTCTAACCATTGCCAGATTCGTGGATGTTCTTACATTGAAGATGATTGGGCATGCTGATCCGAAAGATGACTTGTATTGTTTACGTAAACAAGATACTGTTTTTTCTTGGTCTCATATTAATAACATCAGTAATAATAGTTCAATTGTGCCTACCGATGACAACACCAAGTATTAATACTCGCAGCAGTAAATTATTCCACTTCCAATCTTTGGCACAACAGATTGGGACATCCTTCTAGCAAGATAATTGAAAATATGATTAAAGATTTTCCTTACATTCATAATAGCACTGAAAAAATTTGTGATGTATGTCATTCGGCCAAGCAACATAAACTTCCCTTTAATAACAGTATTCATGTTTCCAAGACAATTTTTGAAATGATTCATATAGATATATGGGGTCCCATTGATATTTCTTCTATACATGGTCATAGATATTTTCTTACTATTGTTGATGATTTCTCTAGACACACATGGCTTTTTCTTATGAAGAATAAACATGAGACTAGGAGTCTATTGAACAATTTTATTATCCTTGTTAAAAACCAATTTGGTCGTAATATTAAAATTTTCGGAACCGACAATGGGAAAGAGTTTTCTTATCCCGAATTCTATGATAAAAATGGTATTATTCATCAAACTTCTTGTGTAGAGACACCTCAACAAAATGGAAGGGTAGAGAGGAAACATCAACACATAATGAATGTCACACGTAGCTTGTTATTTCAAGCCAATCTTCCAAAATGTTTTTGGTCCTATGTTGTTGTTCATGCTATCTACCTAATCAACAGTCGCCAAGTAAAACCATAAGGAACCAATCTCTATTCCAAATTTTGCATAATCAACTTCCTATTCTTAATGATTTAAAAGTGTTTGGTTGTCTTTGTTTCACATCTACAATTCATAACAACCGTACGAAGCTAGATCCTAGAGCCAGAAAAAGTGTTTTCCTTGGATATAAACCTGGCACCAAAGGTTATGTGACTCTTGATTTACATTCTAGAGAAATTTCTATATCCAGAAATGTGATATTCTATGAAAATGAATTTCCCTATGTTAAAACTAATATTGTTGATGACACTGATCTTTTCACATTGACTGATTTTTAATTCTTTTTTGATTCTAACAATCTCATGCATAAGAAAGTCAGGTCTAATCATGTGCATCCGTTTTCAAATCCTCAAGATATTTCCTTCCAAGTGACAGAAGAAGATATTTCCAATTGAACACCTAAACATTCTTGCTATTTCTAACAATTTTGAACCTACTACTTATAAACAAGCAGCTTGTTACCCTGAATGGATTGATGCTATGCATAAAGAAATAAAAGCCTTAGAAGAAAATAAGACTTGGTATTTCACTAATCTTCCCCCTGGAAAGAGAACTATAGGTTGTAAATGGGTTTATAAAACCAAATATAATGCTGATGGTTCTATTGAAAGACATAAGACTAGACTAGTGGCTAAGGGTTTCACTCAATTAGGAGTAGATTTCTTAGACACTTTTTCTCCTGTTGTTAAAATTACCACTGTTAGACTCATGCTTGCTATTGCAGCTGTTAAGAATTGGCATCTTGTTCAACTAGATGTCAATAATGCCTTCCTTCATGGAGATCTCAATGAGGAAGTGTACATGGATCCCCCCCCTGGCGTGATACCTCCTCAAGCAAATCAGGTCTGCCGCTTAACCAAATCCCTCTATGGATTAAAACAGGCTAGTAGGCAGTGGTTTGCCAAATTATCTACTTCTCTTCCTTCAATTGGTTTTATACAATCTCAATCTGATCATTCTCTTTTTACAAAGAAAATTTTTCTTCCTTCATTGCTTTACTCATTTATGTAGATCATATAATTCTTGGAGGTGATTCAATTGATGAAATCAACACCGTCAAACAATTTCTTAATCAACAATTTCAGATTAAAGATTTGGGACAACTGAAATATTTCCTTGGCCTAGAAGTTGCTCGTACTACACAAGGCATTCACATTTGTCAACGCAAATACACTCTTGATATCCTTGTCGACAGTGGTCATCTAGTCTGCTCGACCATGTTCTACTCCTATTATCAAGGACACCAAATTGTTTTTCGATGATAATGCTGATCTTTGTGATGCGAGATGCTTATCGCCGCCTTATTGGACGACTTTTGTATCTTACAAATACGCTACCGGATATAAGTTTCGTCGTTAATTTTCTAAGTCAGTTTAATCAAAAGCCCATTGTCTTCCATCAAGCTGTCGCCAATCGTATACTTCGTTATTTGAAAGCTAATCCTGGTCAAGGTTTGTTTTTCTCTTCCAATTCCAACATTCAATTGAAAGGATTTAGTGATTCAGATTGGGCTTCATGTTTGACAACTCGTCGCTCTACCATTGGATTCTGTATCTTTTTGGGTAATTCGTTGATTTCTTGGCGATTAAAAAAACAACACACTCGTTCTCGTTCCTCAACGAAGCAGAATCATGTGGCTCTTGCTATCACCAGTCTGCGAGCTTCAATGGCTCAATTACTTGCTTCATGATTTCAACATCTCCAAGCCCAATCAAGCTGTCATCTATTGTGATAACCAAGCTGCTCGTCACATTGCTACTCATTCTAGCTTTCATGAACGCACCAAACACATTGACATTGATTGTCATGTGGTCAGAGATCGTGTGCAGGCCAACCTCTTCCATCTTCTTCCCATTTCCTCTACAAATCAACTTGCAGATGTTTTCACCAAAGCTCTCGATCCTTCACCTTTTCTTAACAATATTTCCAAGCTGGTTGTTCTTAATATTCACTCTCCAGCTTGAGGGGAGGCTATTAGTTACACGTGTACCTTTTCCATTTGTTAGTATTGTTTTATGCAGGTTTGACTAACTGCATATTTGACTTTTTTCCTTTTTATATTTAACCTTCTTTTCTTCCTCCAATATATTGGATTTTTCCTTTTGTATTCGATCAATATATGAATTAGATCAGTTTTTCTTCTCTGTTGTCTTCTCTGCTATTTTCTCCCAAATTCTCAATGGGATCCATGTTTTTACGTTAGGTCTAGAATACATGCAATAGTCAACACAATATTTCTCAACTTTTCAACATGCATTTTATCAAAGATTATTGTTCAGTGTAAATGACATAATTAATTAAGTTGGTTGGATTCCGTGCCTGATCCAAACTGTTCAATCTTAATCGATTTGTTTGATTAAGTTGGGTTCATCTAACCCATATTCATCCCTATGGATACTTTTTACTATTATATTTCCTGCAATATAAAATAATTATTTCTACATCAGTGGTTGTTTAGTTTAATTGTGATTTTTATTTTCACATTTATCATTTTTTCTTCTCAATCTCTCTTTTCTTTTGACTCATTTAATCTAAAAATAGCTATACGTTTATTATTACACTATTTATAATTCATTTTCTGTCTAATTAAAAGTAGCTCATTTTCATGGATAGGTAGTAAGATTGTCAAATTTTCTAGCTTTAACTCTTAAACTCTTACAAATGTTCGTAAAATAGTTTTCCACCGATGCTTTTATAATATATCTACTCCAAATTTGACAAGCTGTAGGCATCAAAGGCTGGTTTTGAAATTCACTTTTAAATTGAAGAAGAGAAAGATCAGCCAATCTAATGTTCACTTGTCAGAGCAACTGGAATTTCGTATCTCATAAATCTCCAAATAGCCATGCCACCCCAAGACAATCCTTATCAACAAAATGGAAAATACATTAATCTAAAAGATATTTCAAATTCAACTTAAGAGAGAAGTATAAGTAAACACAGATCTATTCACATGCCTTCAGAGTGAATTAGAACATCCTAGGTAAGCAGAATGCTTACAAGTTTATAAAATTTCACTTTCTCAAGCACTGTAAGAAGCTGATAGAGAATTGATATCCTAAGCATTATAGTTACAGCTTGTTGTAACAATATGGTTTGTAAATGAAAATCTCAAATTCTTCAGTTATGCCGAAAGGAATTAAAGTTTGCCAAGAAATTTGAAGCAATTAAAGCACAGATTATCTTCATTAGAAGCTAAGCGCACCAGACTCTCACATTTGCAATATTGAAGCAAGCAACCCCCTAGAAGACCTATCCAAACAAAAAAGGAATTATTATTAGCCAAGAGGAAACTTAAATATAGGAATCCCATTAAAAATTCTCAATTGCCTGCAATGGAAACCAATGTTGTTGGAGCAACAAGTGATAGCTTGTGTGGGGATTTTGAAATTAACAGCTAATGGCTTACAGAAGAAGGACTACAGACTCTTAGGAGTTTGTTGACTTTGCTCTTTATCTAATTCTTCAAAGAAATTTCCTAATACATTTTTTTTCCTTTTTGTTCCATTTATATAGATCAAAATTACGAGGGCAAATAAAATTGTGTGTAACACACCATAATTGTATTTGAATCTTCCATTGTTGTGATTCTTAACTGTTGAGATCATGTCTATTTTCCCCTGGTACTATAAGGATCAGTGAATCGAACATCTTCCATGCTGGTTTCCTGATTGAATATGTGGATTCCGATTTGTAAAGAGGTCTCTTTGCAACCCACCACCAGATATTTAATCTCCACATGGTTCCATTCATTTTCAAAAGAAAAATCATATGGACTGCATGTGAAATTTCTTAATCGAAGATCAGAAAGATATGTATGATCCGTTCCCTTGGAGAAATTGGGGATCTCAGAGGTGAACTTATTGCCATTGATGAACACACTGGGACAAAAGTATTTGTCATAGTTAAGCATAGGTGCAATAACGAAACAGAGAACTTTGTCTGGGAAATTATTACGAAACCAGAAAGAAATTGAAGGTCCCCTGCTTCGTTGATCCAACCACTCTGGAATCCTTGCTCCTGGCAAATTGAATGAAGTGTATCCACCCTCATGCAGTTCCTGTTAGTCATAAAAAAATCATTTCAACGACACTAAGTACATTATTAAATCAGATACATAGAAAACAAGACAAACCTGATTTAGGAACATGTCTATACTCGATGAAGTCAAGGATTCACAGGCTATTGCGAAAAATTCTTTTAATGTTGGGGGAACTCCTTTAATTTCCCGAAGATGCCTGCAATGACTCACATCAAGCATCCATAAAAATTGACATTTGTTGATGCATTCGGGAATTATAGAGAAGTTATTGTACCGAAGATTTAATTTTTTCAAATGAGCAAACCACGTGAAATCTATTGAAAAAAAATCATCATTCAGGTTGCAATAATTGGCCGAAAGGTCTTCCACCTTTGAGGAGACTAATGAGCCAAAATTTTCTGTACCCTCTTCCTCTTGTAGCCATTGCCACCCTTGCAATCCCTCACCGGAAATAGCAGTCAACTCTGGCATCTGGATGATGCTAGTTGGTAAGCGAACAACTCCAATTCCCATCCCATTCAATCTCAAGTTTAATTCCTGGAGTCCAATTAGATTTTGAAATGAAACTGGGAATCGCTTTACGGGAGTGTTATACAACGTAAGCTTTGTCATGTTTTCCATCTTTCCCAATATTTCTGGAAAATTCTCAAGACTATGACAATGTGAAAGACCAAGATGTTCAAGAGAGGGCAACTTGAGGGGTGGAAAACTCTTGAGACGGATGCAACCGCTAGCCTTCACTGTTTTAAGTTTAACAAGAAAATTAATCGAGTCATGAACTGCAATTAAATTAAAACAACCTAGAAAAGAAAGTTCCTCCAAATTTGAAAGACCAGCTATGGAGTCAGGTAGATGTGTTAAATATCTGCACTCATCAAAGTTCAAAACTCTTAGATACACGAACTTCTGCATAGAAAGAAAGAAAGAAAGAAGAAGGGAATGAATAATCAAAAAGTGAATTTATTGATTTGCATGATGACGAAAATGTACTCTTCAACTTGCCTTGGATAAGCCATCCAACTCGAATGAATTCAAGCGACTACAGGGTAATTTGCATATGGCAAGTTTTCTGGAATGAAAATCATATGGTAAACAATGTGAAGGATATCCCGGCCATTCCAGTACTACCAACTTATTTGGAAGATATTTGGGACCTGTGGAAAATTCACAATTGCTGATAATAAGTATTTTCAGGTTTTCCATGTCCTCGAAGGCCTTTCCATTCCATTCCACCATTTCTATTTTGTCAGACATGGAGACATCAAAACATATGATTTCAATTTCACTAGTTCCCTGCTATTACAGAAGTCACAAATCAACCACAATATATATGCAAAACTTCAACACAAATATATATTAAGTTAGAGAGAAAAAAACACAAGTATGACATGACCAAATGATAGACAAAAAGAGTGAATCAAGATAAAAAAACAAACCATTCATGACTCTCACCGTGTTGCATTTTAGAACTTGAATTATATCTTTAGGTAACCATAATCTCCTGCGCTTCCCTGGCTCTTTAGGTGATTCTTCCTGGTCAATTTTTTTTCCCATGTCCTCAATCAAGTCGTGCATTTTAACTGTTCCACTCCGACTAACCTTTATGAGTGATTTTTCTGCCAAAACCCCAAGATGATGTTTCATGCAGTCATCATAAAGAGCTCGAAGTATAATTTCAACCTCTGTAAATTTATATCCTCTGAAGCAGCAAGCAATGTCAAGAAAAACACTCTTCTCTTCTTCTTCCAAAGCCTCAAAGCTTACTTTGAGTTTCTCAAGGATTTGATTATTAGGAATTCTTCGATATTGATTGATAGCAGATTTCCAGTGTTCTACACTTTTTCCAAAAAGGTTGGAACCAATTACTTCCAAAGCCAATGGAAGGCCAGAAGCATAAGTTACTATATGATTCAAGACCTCCACATAACTTGGATCAACTTGTTCTGTTTTAAAAGCTTTCCATGTAAGCAACTGAAAAGCATCATTTTTATTCAATTTTTTCACCTTATATGTTGTTTTAACCTCGTGAGATGACAGAAGTTGTGTATCTCGACTTGTGATGATGACCCTGCTGCCGGGACCAAACCAATCAGGGCTTCCAACCAGTGCCTGTAACTGCGAACACTTGTCAACATCATCAAGAATGAAAAGAACCTTCTTTCGCTGCAGCCTTTGTTGTATCATTGAAATTCCTTCGTGCTCACTTGCTAAGATGATGTCCTTCTCTCCAAGTATTTTTGAAAGAAGGATTCTTTGGAGGTATTCTAGCCCATGTTGTTTGATTTCTCTCTCACGTTTTGCAGAAAACAAGAACCATCAAAACAGGCAGCAATCAAATTATAAACTGCTAGAGCGAGTGTTGTTTTTCCTATCCCACCCATTCCATACATCGCTATCATTTTGAATCCATCACAAGATTCAACATTTAAAAGCTTCCTGACTTGTAGCACTTGTGATCCAAGTCCAACTGGGTAATCCGCAACATGTAAACGAGCAGGATTAATCTTGTCGCAGACCCAGTCCACAATACTAGCAATAAACTTGTATTCATATCCAGCACTATTTCAAACAAAAAGTTTTAAATGAAGTTAAAATAAATGCCTTGTATCCATTCTTGATACTTTATTGTCAAGGGTAACAATAATTTTAACGTTAAATCATCAGAGAAGTAAAATTTAATCCAACAAAAATTATAAAGTAAAAAGTATCGGTAAGGTTGAGTACTCATGTTTGAAATGAAAGCCAGACAAACGAGATACTTGATTGAGAGCCATCTTCCATTTCTGCAACTTATCCTTATTAGATCTGAACCTTTTCTGATGCTTAGTCAATGCTTCTCCGTAACTACCTTTCTGGTGTCTGACATCAGAAGGGTCAACCTTATAGAAGACCGGTAGAACCAACAATCCTTTCCTCTGGCAGTGAAGGATGGTTGCAAGCTCATCTAAGCAAAACGAGGAAGAAGCATAGTTGTTAGAGAGCACAGTGATGGCAATCCGGGACTCTTGAATTGACTTCACAAGGTATGGTGTTATTTCCTCTCCTCCTGAAAGCTCTTTGTCATAAAGGAAAGTGTGTAAGATAAACTGTAATTAATTATGATCTTCATTCTAACTATCAAATATAAATATAATTCATACTGATAAACATATTATAAACTGAATGTGAAAGCGTACCTGAATTTGTCATAATGATGATGTCCCTTTTAGAGCACTATTGATCTTATGGTCTTCCACCTGTAAAGCACCTGTATTTCCCTTTGGATTTTCTCTCTTGATGGGGATAGAAAGAAAGGAACGGGACTTATACTTACGTTTTGTGTGTGTTCCCAGAAGGGGACCATCACCCTTTAAATAACTAAAATTAGGTTAATTACTTAAGTTTTAGTATTTTCAATTTGACCCCTCATTAAATTAGAAATTACTCTATGGTCTTTACACAATTTTATTTTCATGACATATGTCTTTAGCCAAAACTTTAATTTATTCATATCACTTTATTATTTGGCTTAATAAATAATGACCCTAACACATTTAAATTATGTATCATATATATATACATGACCCAAATTTTGCCAACAATCTCCCACTGGTCACAAATATATATGTCCTTACAACCTTACAAATGTGTTAGACTTTATGAGCTCAAAATTGTCATTATATTCCTTTAGCATACTCCAAAAGTCCTGTCCATTAATCATATAAGGATATAGAACCAAATCAGCTTTTCATTGCATCATCGCAATTAAAAACAACAATGATTACTCATCCTAACATAATCAAATGACATGGATTCATCAAGAAATATGTAGCATGAAAATTACGTGAAGGTGATCTATACACGTCTATTTTCAACTGGTCCAAACTTTAACTTATCGAGATCGATATAATATCCTTAATGTACAAAGTGTAATGAATGAACGAAAAAACCGCATATCTATAGATAACCAAATATGTCCAAAAATCAATGTATACATATATGAAATTAAACATAGAACATAAAATATATGAAAGTGACTAACTCCCACTAAACCACAAATTCCTCAAATTGTAAAACACCCATGTGAGCAACATGCTCATGAAAGACCTTGGGCGGAAGTCCTTTAGTTAGAGGATATGCTATCATGGAGTTTATCCTTAAGTGTTCTATGGAAATCTGTCCACTTTGTACTCTTTCCTTAACAATACAACTGATTTATTGTCACAATATAACTTAAGTGGTCTTTCAATGCCTTTCACAATTTGCAGCCTCGTGACAAAATTTCTCGGTCATATTCCATGATTTGATGCCTCATAGCATGCTACAAATTCTTGACATCCTGCAAAATCCGAGTCGAAAACCCAGCTGATCTCCAACTGGTCCGACCTCCCGTATGTGAGCATATAATCTTTTGTTCTCTTTAAATATCTTATGACCCTTTTTGCCGTTTTCCAATGGTCTATTCCTGAATTGCTTAAATATCCGCCTAGAACCCCAACTATGTATGTTATGTATGGACGCGTACATATTTGGGAATACATCAAACTCCCGATAGCTGATGCATAGGGAATCTGTTGCATTTCCTCAATTTCCAAATTCCCCTTTGGGCACTAATTTAGACTAAACTTGTCTCCCTTAGTAACTCGGAGTATCCCCGGCTCATGACGCACGAGTTCTTGAGGATCTTGAGTTTGGTCTTGACGAACAATCAAATCATCTTGAATATGGGGTTTATCATCAATGTCTTGTGGAGGTTCCGAACTTACTTGATCAAAAGTAACTGTTTGAATCGGTTCTGGATTTATTGTCGATTCTTCCTCCAATACAAAATTCTTAATCTTATTCTTCCCCCCAAACTCAATATCCTCAAAGAACATAATAGTTTCCATCTCAAAAATTGTCTTTAATGTGGGATCATAAAATTTATATCCCCTAGCTCTTTCACAATAACCAATGAAGTAACTACTTACTGTTCGGGAGTCCAATTTTAGTTTAGTACCACGGGATTCTGTATTAAGAGTTTCATTATAGGTGACCACAATATTAAGTAAATATAGATTATCATAAGCCAAAAGTGAACAAATTCTAACAATATCTGAATTAAAAGACAAACTGAACTCATTGTTTCCAAATGAACACATATAACCCAATTTGTCCAAATAATAAACTGAAACCAAATTTCGTCTAAAAGACGGCACGACAAAAGTATCTTTTAAATCTAAAATAAAAAATCAGTACACAATAATAATCTAAAATTTCCAATAGTCTCCATCTCCACCGATTTGTCGTTTTCAACGTATATCCATCTTTCAGAATCAGTTGGCTTCCGGTAGTTTAGGCAACCCTTTCTTTTCATGCCAAGCATGATATTTAGCACATTGCTTCTTTACGTGTCCAGTCTTATTGCAAAGAAATATTTGTTTTATTGAGTTTGTTTCTTTTGTTCTGGACCTTTAGCAGCTTCCTTCTAAGGATCCTCCAATCTCTTTCTTTTGCCTTTAGCCTTAGAGGTACTTGCAAAATGAGCACTTTCTGTCTTGTCTTGCTTTAGCCTTTCTTCTTCTTGTACACAATGTGAAATGAGTTCATTAAGAGACCATTTATCCTTCTGACAGTTGTAAGATACCTTAAACCGATTAAACGTTGCGGGAAGAGAAATCAACACCAAATGAATGAGCAAGTCTTCCGAGAGTTCGAGCTTTAGTGCCTTGAGTTTAAAAATAATATTAGACATGCTCATAATGTAGTCCCCGATATTTCCTTTGCCTCGATATTTCATGGAGATCAAGTTCGAAGAAGAGTGTTTGCCTCCTCCTTATCACTTTTTGCAAAGCGCCGCTCAATTTCAAAGAAGGAACTCTTTGGCACTTGTGATGTTTTCGAAACAAGTGCTCCTAAACACCTCCGGGATGTCGCGCTTAATGATCATTAGA